TAGCCTTGGGAATACAGCAATCCCTTTCTCCCCTGCTGGTGTCCCACACAAACATGCCCACCAAATCTTTCTCAAATATACCTCCTGTGAAAGGCTTTATTATCCAAACTCTTCCTAGCAATTGTTTCAGACTAAGCTCTCCAGCAACTTCTTTGTATCACTTAAGCAATATCTGTAATTGTGTTATTAATAGCCTGTGAATTCTTGGAGGACAGAGACAGGTACTTAGCAATAGCTGTTAAATTTTGCATGAATGAGCATTTTCTCCTTTGTCCACATATTCATGATTTCCTTCAAGACAGCTAACTAGTTAGGGATTGCACAAATATCTAAGTGTTTTGTGATGCGTTTTGTGATCCTAGATTTTATTATGGGTTTGCCTAGTATAGAAACCATCCTTTTATTTATTTTAAAAGATTCTAATTTATTTATTTGAGAGAGATAAGAGTGAAAGAGAGCATGAGCAGGGAGGAAGGGCAGAGGGAGAGGGAGAAGCAGACTCCGCACTGAGCGGGGAGCCCAAAGTGTGGCTTGAGTCGAAGACCCTGAGATCATGACCTGAGCCGAAGGCAGGCGCTTAACCGACTGAGCCACCCAGGTGCCCCCTTTATTTAATTTTAAATTAACATAATGCTCTTTAATCAGGGCAGATTGAACACACGTGCTCATTACCGTTTATTTGTAAAGTCCTGCAGTAAAGGGTTATATACGAAACAAAGCACTAGGACAGATGAACAGGAGTGCACAGAAGTGCACATTCTTTTTTTTTAAAGATTTTATTCATTTTTATTTTTTTAAGATTTTATTTATTTATTTGTCAGAGAGAGAGGGAGAGGGTGCACAAGCAGGGGGAGCAGCAGGCAGAGGGAGAAGCAGACTCCCCAATGAGCAAGGAGCCCGATGCAGGGCTCGAACCCAGGACCCTGGAATTATGACCTGAGCTGAAGGCAGATGCTTAACGACTGAGCCACTCAGGCATCCCAAGATTTTATTTATTTACTTGAGAGAGAGAGAGAGAGAGAGAGAGAGAATGTGAGAGAACAAGCAGGGGGAACGGGAGAGAGAGAAGCAGATTCCCCACTGAGCAGAGAGCCCGACTAGGGACTCGATCCCAGGACCCTGCAATCATGACCTGAGCTGAAGGCAGCCCCTTAACTGACAGAGCCACCCAGGCGCCCCCACAGAGGTGCAGATTTTTACGTAAAGTTTCCACCAGTGTTTTTGTCTTTAAGCCTTCCCTGCACCTTGGCTGGCAAGTGTGTGGTGCCAGGTTTGGAGACTTTCCACAGTTGTGTGGCACAAATCAGCTTCTTCGCATTGCTTTTCCCTCACTGCTAGCATATACTTTGACCTTGCTTAGTTTACATGGGCACCCACTGTTCCATCAACTTTAGAACTTCTAAAATAGCTGTCATTTCTCATGTTTCATCTCCTGTCCTTTTCTCTTTCTTTGCCTTATGGGTTTATGTTTATTTTTTTCTGCCATTTTAGTTGGATTTCAGGAGGAATGGTAATAAACACCTGGGTTCAATTTGCCACATTTAACTGAAAGTCCTCTTCATTGTTGATGTTTCTGTGTGTGCCTGGTCTCCCCAACTAGCTAGTGACCTCCAAGGAAACCACTGTTGAAGTGTTATTTACACATTGTTTACAGTACCTTCCAAACAGGTGTTCTACTCATGTTTATGGTTGATATTACAAATTACCTTGAAGAGCAAGCACAAGTACACTTGAAGGCATGTGGAAGACTTTTTAAGAACACTGGCAATTTCTAGGTCTTCAACTTCCACCTGTACCCCCTCCAAAAATTCATCTAAGAACGTCTGCAGCCTGGGTACCATATTGGCTTTGTTGTCTCTTTCCCTTTTATATGATGCATTTGTCCCTCTTTATTACACGCACGTGCACACACACACACCCCCCCGCCACATCTAAATCTTTTTTTTTTAAAGATTTTATTTATTTATTTGAGAGAGAGAGAATGATAGCACGAGAGGGAAGAGGGTCAGAGGGAGAAGCAGACTCCCTGCTGAGCAGGGAGCCCGATGCAGGACTCGATCCCGGGACTCCGGGATCATGACCTGAGCCGAAGGCAGTCGCTTAACCAACTGAGCCACCCAGGCACCCACATCTAAATCTTTTTATGGCACAATTTGCCCAGGGTGTAAAAACTTGCAGGGCAGCATACAAAATTACAATTGGAAATAGTGCTTTGGGCCAACTTCTTTCAATTAAGGCACCATAATCCAAAGTAGGGCAGTATGGTCATATGTATATATGACATTTTCTTTCTGTCACCAACTGAGTCTGGTGTCAGAAAATGGCTATTTGGCCCATTCTGAATTTATATATATTATAGTGGGGGAAAGGAGGCCATCATAACAACTTTTTAAAAAGATTTTAAGCCCTGGGGGGCTCAGTCAGTTAAGCGGCCAACTCTTGATTTTGACTCAGGTTGTATTCTCAGTATCTTAATATCAAGCCCTGTGTTGGGCTCTGTGCTCAGCAGGGAGTCTGCTTCTCCCTCTCCCTCTGCCCCTCCCCCTGCTGTGCTCTCTCTGTCAAATAAATAAAATAAAATAAATAAATAATATTTATAAAAAAATAAAATCACCACTTGCAAAACATCACAGTAATAATTGTAGACGAGACCCACTAAAACTAGTGGGTGAGTATGCAGCAACAATTTGCATAGTCTCAAAGCATCTCCCCCAAAGTACCTATTAAGTAAAAAGGGAACTTTAAAAATGACAGAAACCACCTTAAGCAAGTAATCAAGGTCAACATAACCAATAATATATAAGACACACTGACATAAGGAATCCTGTGATAGCGTGGATGGAGGACACAGCTTCATTGTTGTCATATTCTTCCAGAAAATATGACCTCAGTTCAATCACAAGGAAACACTAAATAAACCGTAATTGAGGGACATCAAACAAAACAACTGATTAACACTCTTTCAAAGCGATACGGGCATGAGAGACAAGGAAAGACTAAGGAACTGTTATTGACAGGAGCAGACGTACAAGTAACTGTTTTCTGGGTAATATTCTGGAACAGAAAAAGGACATAAGTGGGTAAACTGGTGAACTATGGTTATGGAAGATGCTAACATAAGGAGAAGCTGGTTGAGGTATATATGGAAACAGTCACATTTCTTCAATTTTTCTGTAAGCCTACAATTGGTTCAAAATGGAAAGTTAAAAGAATAAATAAAACTATGAAGTATACCTTCTTTGTACTTTTTTTCCATTACCAGGGCTAACGTGTGGCCTATAACCATATTTTAATTCCAGGATAAAGTACTAATGAAATATTTTGGAATGAAAACCTATGATCTAATGACTTTTCTTGATATGCTTGTGGTTGAGAAATAAGACATTTAATACATTTGCCGGGAACTCAACTTCCACATTTTTGCTTTTTGGGAGGACAGGGAAAAACTCTGTGGAAATTAGACTCTACTTTGCCATTGATTCTGTTATGACTGAATTGTGTGACTAGAAAAGAATAGAATTCCTACCTCCTGCACTTCTCCAGGAACACCTTGTAAGAGAATAGTAAAAATAATTAGAATTTGCTTAAATGTCCTTACCCTTAAAAGGAGTAAGAGCTCGTATTAAAACAGCAAAGAGATAATAGATGCTTAAGCTTGTGAGCACAAATGATGAGTTTTATTTAATTGCAAGTGTTGCTACCTATGTACACGTTTCTCTTCCAGGTTTTTTAACTGCTCAAAAAACCCTTATGGAGATGACCAACGTTGTAAAATGTGTCCTAAATATTTATTAAATCTACCCGTCAATTGATATGTTCTGTACGGAGCCCCTGAAATGATGTTTTGACAGTTTATTTACAATCACTGAAAGCAGATGGTTCTATAAAACATACAAGGAATTACAGGCTCCTCAAACTTACAATATTTATTACGTATATTTCAACATTTAAATAGAAGCCCATTTTTTCAAAAGCAATTTTCTACTACTTTCTCATAAAAATATAAAAAAAGACAGCATTCATAGTTTTAAAAACCCATATTTAGCCCAAATCAAGATTTTTCTACAAATGATACCTCTTTCCAAAAAGCTTAAAAGACATCACAAAATGATGTCATGCGAAACTGAAGTTCACTACAGCAGAGATTTTTACTTTTAAGAAACATTGTGCAGTATTTCTCTTTAATCTTTCATGCTACATTTCAACTGTGTATATGCTACGTAAACACGCCAGATTAATCCAAGTTATTTATATTTACGCAGTAGAGTGTCATATATGACCAGCTGCCATATAACCCATCATACCACAATTGCAAAAATGATAAAAGGCAATCTTTATGAAAGCTTAGAAAAGCTTAATAAAAGGCAACCAACATCACCCTAATTTTCTATTAAAATTACCTCTCTTCCTAACTTTCTTTTCCTCTCCTACCTTTTATAGCATAATAACACACAAAGATATTTGTATCACTTTTACCTTAAGTTAGGCTTTTTTAAATGACTCTTTTCTGACACACAGCATTTATCAAAAGGCACCAAGAGATTAGACTCCTAAGTAGTTTCAGAATTTTCGTTCCTTTTTAGGTTCCTCCAGATTGATTTTCCTCAGAAAAGAGTAACTTTACAGGACACCTGGGTGCCTTATTCAGTTAAGCATCTGACTCTTGATCTCAGCTCAGGTCTTGATCTCAGGGTTGCGAGTTCAAGCCCTGCAGTGGGCTCCATGCCGGGTGTGGAGCCTACTTGAAAAAAAAAAAAAGAGTAACTCTAAGAACCAGAAGAAAATGAATAATATAACACAATAACTTGACATTTGTACCATCCAAAAGGAATAAAGATATTAACAGGTTCCTTGAGCTTTTCATTTAGGACAAGAAGTCAGAATAACTTTTTGAACATAAACATAAAAATAGGGCACAGTTATCAAGAGGAATGCTCCTAATTTTGTAGTAACAATGTATTAAATCTTATAGAATAACGCACAGCCAAAAGCATTAGAAATTCACTGCCAGATATTCTGATGCATTATCCTGAAAACATGTCTGATACATAGCACTAACAAATAACAAAGTATGGCATTTATTTCACAGGGAGAAAAGATAAGTTTCATCCCAAAAACATATTTACTGGATTCAGCTTTAAGTTTTAGAGATATATATTAAAGATAAAAAGGAAAAACAAGATTTACCCTTAAAATAAAAAAAGTCTTTTATATATACATACATATATATATATATAACTCATTATTAATACTCTTTATGCTCTTAAGATGTAAAACACTTAGAAACTTTTGAACTCCAGAAATTTTGACCGGTTAATCTATTTGGCCTTAACATACTCTAAATTCCCTTTCGAGAATCACATTAATGTCCACAGCTCAGCAGTCCAATAGCGAGGGGCAATTCTATTTCTTTCTCTTCTTCTTTGGTGGCTCGTCCTCAGAGCTGCTCCCTGTGCTGGTGCTGCCGCCACTGGAAGAACTGGAGTCGGAGTCCGAATCGGAGGACGAGGAGGAGCTTGTGGAGGAGGTTGAAGATGATGAACTGGAGGAGCTTTCGTCGGTGTCACTATCCTCGGAGGAGGACGAGGTAGATGTGTCTTCACTGTCGGATGAGGAATCACTGGCTGAACTGTCACTGCTGTCGCTACTGGAACTGGTTACACTCTTCGACCTATTAGACAGCGAGGAGTTAGTGATACGCACAGGAAGCTGACATTGAACAACGGTCAAAAGCAACTGCACGGGCAACCCACATGCACATGCTGAAGCTGTGCGCGCGGGGTACTGCGTTGCTGGAGAAATCCTGCGGCAACCACAACATCTTCTACTTTCGCAATCTAACTCTCTTGGACGGAGTTAAGCATTCCTACTCTATTATGCTCCAGAATGAATAATGGTAGAATAAAGTTGCAGTGTAACAACTGGGTTTACTTAAGCCTCAGGTAGCATGGTAAATGTTTCATAATCTTTACTTTGAACCAGGTAGAGCTGCTCAACAATTTTTTTTTTTACCAGTCTAATAATATTTCCCATTCTAATACAATAAGAGAGATTTTTAAGAGAAATTATTTACTATTTCCAGGTATAAAGCCTCTGGAAAGTTGGAGAAAAAGGAGAAATGAAGGTAGTATGTTCCAGTCAGGTAAAGAGAGAAACGTATCAGGAAATAAGGATGATACTTAATCACGAATTACAAACAAGAGACTTCAGATCCAAACTTTATCACTATTATTTTAAATCACTCTTCCCATCCCTCCCACTAGTATTATTTATTAGCCATATAAAACTCCTAAAGCCACACATACCTTTTTTTCTTGGTCTTCCTCTCTGCATTAGTTTCTCCAATGCTGATAAACATGAGGGGGAAAAAAGTTCCTGTTAATAGAGTGATTATACACAGCTCAGACCAACCCTTTAGTTAGCCCCCAGAGTGTCTTCCATTGGAGAAACACCTTGTCTTTCGTGACATGTACAGAGCCCAGTATTTCTTGTTATAACCTGCCCCTCCCTCCCCCCGCCCCACTCCCTCTCTAAAAAAACCTTCTGAATTGAGTCACCATTACCAATATTACTATACAATTGATTAAAACAATATACAGGGATACCTGGGTGGCTCAGTCGGTTAAGCGTCTGCCTTCGGCTCAGGTCATGATCCCAGGGTCCTGGGATCGAGCCCCACAACGGTCTCCCTGCTCAGCGGGAAGCCTGCTTCTCCCTCTGCCACTCCCCCTGCTTGTGTGCTATCACCCTCTCCCCACCCTCTCTAACAAATAAATAAAATCTTTAAAATAAAACAATATAGAAATACAGTACAAATTTTAATACTTATTACACATCAAAGTAAATTTATTAGAAATGCATCTCTTAATGACATCGATTGTTTTTCTAGTTTATGTATCCCTGGATCTTACTGCTAGGTTGCGACAAGGTTCAGCATTAATTCAATTCCCGTATTTAATTTTTATAGATTTAACCTAAGAAGCCTTCTTAACCTAAATAGGTAGATAGGAACAGAGTTTTGTTGTAGCAACGTCACTGTTTGAATACCTCCAATGATGTGGTACACAAGTCACAAAGATGTATCATGAAAATATACTTTTATTTATTTTTATTTTTAATTATTATTATTATTATTTTGAGCGGGGGGAGGAGGGGCAGAGGGAGAGGAAGAGAGAGAATCTTAAGCAGGCTCTACACTCAGTATGGAGCCCAATGCAGGGCTCAATATCATGACTCTGAAATCATGACCTGAGTTGAAATCAAGAGCCAGATGCTTAGCTGACTAAGCCACCCCGTTGCCCCTAAAAAATACTTTTAAATTGGTAGCCCAATTAGGTCCTTCTTCAATTTTGCTGGGGAAAAAAAAAAGTACAAAAGAATTTGCTTCCAATAATTAGAGCTATCCACTTTCTTAGTACAAACACCAGTATTTTGAAAAATGTCTAGATTTATACACATGAGGAAAGGGGAAGTGGAAGAGGAGAATGAGCAGGCAAGTTCTCATACAAATTATTTTTTGAAAAATTATATATATGAACACTGATGACTTAGAAATTGATTACCTATCTATTCCTACATAACCTTCGAAGAGCCGTCACGTCCACTAATTGGGAGACCACCGTCTTGCAAGTTCCCGTGTTTCAGACACTATTATACAGCTAACGTTCTGATGAAGATGCTGCTTCTGATCTGTAGCACTGAGGACACCGGGCACCTTCCTCTTGCAGTTTCCCAAACATGCTTACTTACCTAATTCATAGCAATTTTAAAAGCTTTATTCAAGGGATGCCTGGGTGGCTCAGTCAGTTAAGCATCTGCTTTCGGCTCAGGTCATAATCCCAGGGTCCTGGGATCAAGTCCCATATCGGCTCCCTGCTTAGCAGGGAGCCTGCTTCTCCCTCCCCCTGCCTGTGTTCTCTCTCTCTCTCTCCCTCGGACAAATAAATAAAATCTTAAAAAAAAAAAAAAGGCTTTATTCAAAGGACACAAAAGAGTAAATAACAAATTTCCAGTTACTCTCCGACCCAGTTCTCCTAGAAAGGAGCCACTATTATGGATCATTTCTGTTTCCAAAAAAATTCCATTATTCCTTTTCTTTTTTTTTCTTTTTTAATTTTTTCTAAAGATTTTATTTATTTATTGACAGAGAGAGACATGGTGAGAGAGGGAACACAAGCAGGGGGAGTGGGAGAGGAAGAAGCAGGCTCCCTGCTGAGCGGAGAGCCTGATGTGGGGCTCGATCCCAGGACTCCAGGATCATGACCTGAGCTGAAGGCAGACGCTTAACGACTGAGCCACCCAGGCGCCCCCTTTTCTTCTTTTTTAAGATAAACGATAGCATATTATATATACTGTTCTCTACCTTGTTTATAGTCTAAGTATCTTGGATACTTATCTTGGATATCTTTCCATATCAGCTCTGAGAAAATAAAGGGAACTGCATCTAAAATGGACTTGGGAAACCCTGAAGGGGGAGCTCCCACACACTACCACTCATCATCAATTGCAGACCCCCACAGAGACCAGTACCTTGTTCCTCAACAGGAAGAAGCTTACTTGACTATCCCAGCAGGAGGAAGGAAAATTTTCTTCTTGCCTCACAACAGCAACTGCCCCAGTCATCCAATGAGAAGCTTGAACGCCCATTCTCCTCCAGTGGACTTTTCTTTAAAACAGCCCTTCCCAATTTCCTCTTTCCCTCGATAAAAGCAAGCTCCTGTCCTTTGTTTCTCGGGACTTGCCTACGGTTTGCCATAGTTTGCTTGTCCTGGATTGCAATTCCTCTATTCCCCAATAAACTCATTTTGCTGGTAAAATAACTGGCCATTTTATCTTTATGACTGACAGCTCATATCATCTACCTCGTAGTATTCTGCTGCCATTTTACTGGCAGCTGAGTCAACAAAGCAAAGTGATTAAGAGCATGCACTGGCTGGTTCAACACTTAATCTTTCCACTTACTGACACTGACAAGTAACTCAACTTCTCCAGGCTCCAGTTTCTTCACATGTAAAATGGGGAGAATAATACCTACCTTAATGGTACAGAGGTGATGGTTAAATAAGCTAATACTTGTAAAGAGCTTAATACAGTGCCTGGCACATGGGAAGCACTCATTAAACATTAACTAATACTATAATTGGAATCTGGATAACCACCATAATACCTTTAGTTGCTTAATAAAGTCTATCGATAAAAAATACTCTTTTGGATACCATAGGTCAACATACCTTTGTTGTAATAATAATAATCTGTTTTCTTTTTCTTTTAAAGCTTTCTTTAGTTCTGCTGTTCTTGAAGGCCTATGTAGGTATTTTCTTTTTCCTGTGCATTCATAAGTCCAATGTCCAAATTCCAAGCATTTCTGACATCTTACATGTTGTTTATTTGCTTCACTACAGAGCAAAAAGAAAAAAAAAAAAGAATACAGGCCTCAAAATTTTGACTTGACATTTTCTACCCTGAAAAGCATAAACAATATGAACATTTTTAGGTCAAAAATAAACATAATTTTACACTTTAAATTGTTTACTATGTTAGATTTAGTCACAAGGCAATATAGTAAGTAGTCAAGAGCATGGACCTTGGGAGTTAGACCAAACTGAGTTCAAATCTTCATTCCTTAATTCCATTCCAGTAAAAGCAGACTAGGTAACTAAGACCAACTCCTCAGCTCAGAAATAGAAAAAACAGTCAAAACATTTTTAAGAATCTGCTTGAGGCATCAAAGAACTAACAATGGAGTGAAGAACAACCAAGCCAAGATATGGAAGAAAATGGAAATCCAAGTAGTCAGTTCTGCATTTAAGTCAATTCTTGCCCTGGGAGTGTTTGCCAACTCAACAGGGTAACCCTCACTTACAACAAGTTAGGGAGACAAAGTATGTATCCAGAGTTAGGTCTCTGAAGAGTTATACCCTAAGAATAAACCAACTGTATATGGAATACAGCCCAGCTTTTAGTCATCTAGGAGACTAAGAAAAATCTCAATCCCTCCATCCCTGAAATTAGATTCAGATGCAGCAAGTAAAGACAAACAGATGAAACGATTGGAAAGGAAAAAGCAAAATGGTCATTCCTCACTGATGACTTATTATGTACATGGCAAATCCAAAATAATCTACAGACAAAAATATTTTGAAAAAATTAGAATTCGTAAGTTCAGCAAGATTTTAGATTGGGGAGGGCAAACTTTGTAAATCAGATAGTAAAAGTTTCAGGCTTTGCTGATCAGGAGGCAAAACTGAGGATATTATGTAGGTACTGACACAACAAGAGAGAAAACACAATTCCACAGATATTTTATTAATAAAAATATTTCACATAAAAGAGATTTGAAGGATGAAATTCCTTTGTAGAAGATAACATTCCACTCATGTGAGGTTAAAGTTCATGTTCCCTAACATCAAACTGATCATATATACACATGTAATTAACATCCTTAACTGGCAAGCCCGCAAGGACAATCAGCAAGTAGGATTCAGTAAATGACTGTTTGCTGACCTCTGTATTAGATATAAGGTAAACACATAAAAATCAATAGAATTTCTATATAATGAGGACATTTAAAATGAAGTTCTAAAAGGTGATATTTATAATTTCCTGAAAAATATCAACTATCTACAAAGACAACAAAGAAAATACATACAAGACTTCTATGCACAATATAAACTACTCAGAGAAATTAAACACCTAAGTATGTAGCCACATAGAAAAATATACCATGTTCATAGACTGGAAAACTCAATAATGTAAAAATGTCCATTCTCCACAAACTGATCTATAGATTCAAAGCAATGCCAATCAAAACCCAAACAAGTTTTTGTTTGTTCTGTTGACGAAGTTATTCTAAAATGTATATGGAAATTCAAAAGGCCAAGAATAGCCAAAATACCCTTGTAAAGGAATGAGTGGGGAAGCCCTGGATTAAAAGACACTGACCTATGGTAAAGCTATTATCAATTAAGAATGTGAAATTGGAGCAAGGATACACAAACCAATGAACAGAACAGAATGTCCAGAAATAGACTAATGTATATAAGAACGCTTGATTTATGACAACTATGGCACCAGAGACTGGTGGGGGAAAGGACATATTATTAATGGTGCAGGGACAACTGATTATGCATATGGAAAAAATGAGACTTAAACTCTACTCTTGAGGCACCTGGGTGGCTTGGTTGAGTGTCCGGCTCTTGGTTTCTGCTCAGGTCATGATCTCAGGGTCAAACCCTGCACCGGGCTCCGCATTCAGTGGAGTCAGCTTGAGGATTCTCTCTCTCCTTCTGCCCCTCCCCCTGCTCGTATTGTCTCTCTCTCAAGTAAATAAATAAATCTTAATTAAAAAAAGAAAACCTCTACTCTCCACCATATGCAAACATCAATTACAGACTGCTCAAGTAATAAATGTTTTAGAAGGTTGTACAAAAAAAAGTGACATGATGGGGTGCCTGGCTGAACTCAGTCTGGAAGAGCATGATCTTGAGGTTCTGAGTTTCAGCCCCATGTTGGGTGTAGACATCACTTAAAAATAAATAAACTTAAAAAAAAAAAAAGTGACAGGGGCCCCTGGCTGGTTCAGTGGGTGGAGCATGTGACTCTTGATCTCAGAGTTGTGGGTTTGAGCCCGACACTGGGTGTACAGATTGCTTAAAAATAAAATCTTAAAAAAAGAAAAAAGTGACATATTTGACTTGAGAATTCTTAAAAAACAAAATACTACTAATCATAAAGAAAAAGACTAATAAGTTAAACTATGCTAAAATTAAGAATTTCTTTTTATCAAGGCACCTGGGTAGTTCAGTTGGTTAAGTATCTGGCTCTTGATTTCAGCTCAGGCCATGATCTCAGGGTTTTGAGATTGAGCCCTGTGTCAGGCTCTGCACTTGGCATGGAGCCTGATTAGGATGAAAAGAAAAAGAAAAGGAAGAAAAGAAAGAAAAGAAAGAAAAGAAAAGAAAAGAAAAAGAAAGAAAGAAAGAAAGAAAGAAAGAAAGAAAGAAAGAAAGAGAAAGAAAAACTGCTGTTCATCAAAATACACTATGAAAAGAGTAAGAAGGGAAGCCAAGAGGTTGGAGAAGACATTACAAATCAATAAGAAAATGATGGATCATAAAAAAAATAAGACGAAATGGAAAATGTAAAGACTGGACAAAAATGGGCCTGGGAAACACAAGTTAACACTAAATATATAAAAAGTTGTTTTTTTCTAATCAAAGAAAAGCATATTAAAACCCCCGAAGAGGGGCATTTGGGTGGCTCAGTCAGCTAAGCATCCAAGTCTTGGTTTTGGCTCAGATCGTGATCTGAGTCGTGAGATCAAGCCCTGAGTCAGTCTCTGAGCTCAATGCGTAGTTTGCTTGAGAATCTCTCTCTCTCTCCCTCTGCCCCTCCCACTCTTGCATGACTGCTCTCTCTCTCAAATAAATAAATTAAAAAAAAAAACAAAATCAAACAAAAAACCCTGAAGGTACTACCTATCACATACCAGAAAGACTGAAATTAAAAACTGGCAATAGCAAATGTTAGCAAGAATATAAAGCAAGAGAAGACACATCCATTGTGGGGATGAACTCAAACTGGTACAACCATTTTGAAAAAAATTTACTGTAGTTGAAGAAATGCACACTCTATGATTCAGCAATTCCACTTGTAGGTATTTATACAATAGAAATCAGTGCAGTGCTATCTGGGTGGCTTAATTGGTTAAGTGTGTGACTCTTGATTTCAGCTCAGGTCATGATCTCAGGGGTGTGAGATGGAGCCTCCCGGCGAGCTCTGAACTGGGCGAACTGGGCGTGGAGCCTAAGATTAGCTCTCTCCCTCTCTCTCTTCCCCTCCCCAACCGCCACCCCCATCGGGTGTGCATTCTCAAAAAAAAAATAAAAATAAAAAACAGAATCAATGCACAGCTATACCAGATAACATGTGTAAGAATATTGTTCTCCTTTATGTAGCTCTTAAAATTTTTGAAATAATCGTAACCTTATAGAAAATTTGTAAGTACAGTTCAAAGAACTACTTTTCCTGAACCGTTTAGAAGTTGCCAACCTGATGACTCATCAACTCACAATATTTTGTTGTATATTGTCTATAAATTAGGATATTTTCCTACATAACAATGTAACCATCAAAATCAAGAAATCAATATAGATATATTCCTACTATTTAATCTTCAGACCCCATTTATTTCATCAAATGTCCCAATAATGTTCTTTATAGCAAAATCTAGTTCAGCATTCTGTTGCATTTGTCATGTTTCTTTAGTTTCCTTTTGTCTAATGAGTTCCTTAGTCGTGTGTTTTTTATGACCTTGGCAATTTTGAAGGTTACAGGCCAGTTATTTCGTAGAACATGCTTCAATTTGAGTTGCTTTCAAGCTCACTCAGGGGGCTCTCAGTAGGAAGCTTCAGTTCCCTTTCTCTTGACCTCTCCACAGGGTTGCTCACAACATGGCTTTCCCCAGAGGGAGTGACCAAGACAACTTAAGAAAGAAATCACAGTCTTTTATAACCTAATCTTGGAAATGACATACCATCCCTTTTGCCGTATTCTATTGCTCACACAGACCAACGCTAGTATAATGTGGGAGGAGACTATACAAGAGCGTGAATACTGGGAGGCAAGGATAATTGGGGGTCATCTTGGAGGTCAACTACCATATCTGATATCTCTACATGATTAGATACAGGCCATGTATCTTTGGCAGGAATGTAATAGAAATGTGCTGTCCTTCTCACTGTATTCCTACCACATGACACAAGACTGCAATTCGTCTTTTTATTGCTGATATGCACTTTGATCCCTTGATTAAGGAGGGTCTACCAGAGTTTGCATTGTAAAGTTACTTTTTGTCCTTTTGTAATTGTGGTGGTTTTAAATTAATGTTCATGTTAATTCTTTGATACTCTTCACTTCAAGAGGTGGAGCCCTAATTCCCTTCACCTTGAGTGTGGCTTAGACTTAGTGTCTTGCTTCTTCTAACAGAATAAAGCAGAGTGATGGAGTGTGACTTTGAAGATTAAGTCATGTAGCTGCCATGTCATGCAGACACTTAAGCAGCCTCTAGGGAGGCCCATGTGGTGAGAAACTGAGGCCTCCTGCCAACAGTCCTCTGAAAGAGCCATCCTGGAGAAAGATCTTCTAGTCCTGGTGAAGCCTTCAGATGACTGCAGCCCCTGGCAACATCCTAACCAGGACAAATAAGGGAGAACATGAGTTAGAACGCTCAGCTAAGTCACTCCTGAATTCCTGACCCACAGAAACGGAGATAATGTTGATTGTTAGAAGCCACTAAGTTCTGGGGCGATTTGTCAAACAACTCTAAGTGAAAACTAATATAACAATAAGTATTTTGTGGGTCGGTATTCGATATTATATAAATATCCTGCCCATT